AAGTGAAGACACCATATCAGTCAGGGAACACATGACGGGTACAAGAGCGGAAGTCAGTTAACGGACGTTGGTTTTGAAAGTTTTGAGGGTGAAATAATGCCACTAAGGACTCCCAGAGTTGGTGTCAAACAGGCTACAAAGTATTATTATCTAGAGCTCAGAAGTGAGGACAACACTGCAAATTAGATTTGGGCAATGATATTTGAAAACAGGAGGGAATTGGGAAGTGCCAAGAGAAGAAGAAACTCAGCATTAAGTGATTGTACATGTAAATGATGTATGAATGTGTATATCCGGTATTGAATGTATCCAGTCATGTGCTTTATCAATAATTTGAGTATATTTTCTTAGTGCTATACAGACCAAGTACAGGATAGAAACTAAACAAATGTTTAAATCACCTTTTTAAAAGATGATTATTTTATTTCCCTTTCTTCTCTCCTAGCCCCCTCCCCCCCTTTCTTTCTCTCTTTCTCTCTCTGAACTAGGGATTGAACCCAGGGTCATTTTACCATTGAGCTACACTCCAAGTCTTTTTAACTTTTTTCTTTTTTAAATTTTGAGACAGGGTCTTGCTAAGTTTCTGAAGGTCTCACTAAATTGCTGCCGCTGGCCTCAAATTTGAGATCCTTCTGTCTTAGCCTCCTGACTAGGTTATTATAGGCATGTGCCACCAGGGCCCATGTGATTCTTTAAGTATCCAAAAGATATATAAGAAATCCAGCTTCACTGGGAAGTAAATAAACACAAATTTTCAAATAGTGAAGTTAAATGGCATTTCATCTATGAATTTTCAAACATTTAAAATAATAAGGCCGAAATAGTTTTAAGGAGTCAACCATATGTTTGGTCTCCTTGGACAACAGGAACAGGGTGAGTTGGTACAATTTTCCTGGAAAGTCATACATTGTGAGATGTACCTTTATCTTAGCAGTCGTATTTCAACTGCTTGAAATATGCTCTAGGGAACTATTAAGATGAGTAGAAAAAGCATGTTCGGAGTAGTTTTAAAAACAAGCAGGGCTGGGGATGTAGAAGTGGCTTGTTCATATGTGAGACCCTGGTTCAATCCCCAGTACCACAAAAACAGACCAACAAAAACTGGAAACAGGGCTGGGGTTGTGGCTCAGTGGTAAAGGGCTTGCCTTGCATGTGGAAGGCACTGGGTCCAATTCTCAGCACCAATATAAATAAATAAAATAAAGGTCCATTGGCAACTAAAAAAAATATTTAAATAACTGTAAACAATCTAAACATTCAGAAATAGAAGAATGGATTAAAATTATTTATTACAGTGAAATAGTATATATATTTCCAAAGTCTGCCAAATGACATGTGAAAACAATGATATATGGCTTAGTGGAAAAGAAACTTATATGCATCACAGTATTTAAGTAACATAAGACTGGATCTGTATATAAGATAATAGAAGCAAATAAAGCATAGAATTATTATCTCTGGTGCTAGAAAAGTGGTGGGTTTTTTTTCTCCATTGCTCAGTAGTCATTATATTATCCTATTTGTACTCAAGAAAATGTATTATTTTTATCATTAGAAAGCATGGAACATGTTACTGAAAGTGATTCTTACTAAGTAATCTTTTGTCTTCTTTATAAGGATACTGTCACGAAGCAGAAATGTCCAGGCACACCTGTGGGTCAATGTCTGTGGACATAAGAGCATGTAGCAGCACCTCCAAGCTTAGAAGCAAGGTCAACAAGCATGAGAGAGCCCAGAATCTAAATCTGAACACCAATGAAGAATATTACTTCACCTTCATTTTGAGTAAAAGCTCAGGAAATTGGGCCATGGTGGTTTACAACCTATGAACCCAGTGGGAGTGTCCATTCGGCTCTGAGATGATTGACAATTTCAGTGAAGGTATGAAGAATCATTTTAATAAGGACAGTATTGTTTATGAAGAAAATGCATCAGATGGACATATATATTTAGGAATGCCTTTAAAGTGGCTACCTAGAGGTTCTTATTTAAAAATAGCATTTGGTCAAAGAAAGAGGAAGATGGTAAGATACCATGCCAGTATGGAAATACAAATATCAAGGGCATTCATTCTTCTTCACGTTGCTGCTGTGGCAAGAGCACAGATTCTTGAACTCAATTACCCTCACTAAAGAAGAAGCACACTTGCACCTATGCCTCCCTGGTAATGCTAATTAACCCACCTCACTGGTGAGATGACAGAAGGATCTATATTGTGCCATTAGAGCAGACCAGATCTGGGGACACCTCTCTGGGTGAAGAAATGCTCTCCCCAGACTCGGTTCTTGGGTCTTGCACTCTGGTGTCCAGATAGGCCTGCAGGGGTGCTGACCTCATGACTGGGAGCTGCCAGTCAAGGAACACTGAGGACAGTGGGCGGGTAGGTGTTGAGGCCAGAAAGTTCATGAGGCTGAGCTAATAATGGAGACAAAGTAAAGCCTAGGTTTAGTAAAGTGAAGCACAGGTGCCAAACTCCTTTGCTGCAATATGAGGTTAAGAATTGCCCTACTGCAATTAAATTATTTAATATTTGTAAAATGCTTGCAACAGTGCATAAAAAGGACTTTATGTTTGTTAAAGTTAACAATTGGCTTTACTGGTGGTCTAAATAGAGTTTTTCACCAGCGCATTGGGGGGGGGGGTATGGAGTGGGAGAATTGAACTCTGAGACACTTTGCCACGGCGCTATACCACTAGCCTTTTCTTTAATTATTTTTATTTTTTTATTATTACTAGGAGATAGTGTCTCGCTAAGTTATTAAGGCTGGCCTCAAACCTGTGATCCTCTGTCCTCAGCTTCCCCAGTTTCTGGGATAACAGGCGTGCCATCACAGTGCCCAGAGTTTGGGTCATTTTTGAAAGTTGCAGTTTCCTGGACCTTGCGCTGGACCTGTAGAACCATATGACAGAATAGGTTGGCTTCAAGAAAAAGCATTTTTTTTTTTTTAATGACTACCCTGTGTACATCTTAAGGACCCTAAAATGGGGAAAAACTTAGATCTGGGTCAATCTCTTTGATTTGCAAATGAAGGAATTGAGACTTGCCAAAAGTCTCCCTGCAGGATCCTAAGAGAATGTTAACACTCCAAGGTTAAAATCCTCCCCAACAATCCCTTTCCCTTTTCAGCTATTTCCGTGTCCTCCAGCAAATTAATGTGTTATATAACGTGTGAAAGGGGTCAAAGTCACACATACTTCAAAGAAGTGGGTGTGAGGATCAAATAAGACCAAGGCCAGTTAAACACACAAAGGATGAATACGCAAAAGGCCACCACCCCTTCCTGGGACAATTCTCTCAGGCGCAAGACGGAATTTTTCTTGACTGGGAGCAAATTGCGCTGTGAGGTTTTGCAAACTGGAGTACCAGGAATTGCAGAAGCCACTCCAGCCCGCGTGTCCCCTACTGATTGATACCTCTGCTGCTGCTACTTGTGGCCACAACTACCCAGAGCGCTGCTGACATGGCCTTTCCTACAAAGGAAGGTCCCAGCTTGCTGTCACCCTGCTGCTCAGAGCCCCCCCCCCAGCCCCCCCCAATACCAGTGGGGCGAGTGCTGCCCCTCAGAGGTCTAAACCACGCCCCTTATCCTGGACAGAGCTCCAGCTCCTGGAACTCATATCTCCCAATGCCTTTGAACTCTAATTGAAATGAATGCCACCTCTTCCTGGTGTCAGAAGAGTGATTGGTTACATCCCTCTTGTGGAATTAAGATATAAGGATCACAAAGAACCCATGCTAAAGTAAGATTTCATCCCTAAAAGAAAGCCATTCCCCTATTACCTAAAGCCATGATATAGTTTATTGCAAATATATAAGGTTTCAGAATTATCTGTTCATTTTATAACCTGTCCCCCATAAACCAACCCATAATTTACAAAGCCAGAAATGCTTAAAAATAAATTGTTCCAAAATATACAAAATTATGTAAAGATTTTGGAAACAATGTGATAGATATTTTGCTACGTAAGTTTAGTTACACAGGTGTTAGAACACATTTTATGTTTTCTGTAAACCTCCTATTATCTTTTCATCAACTAACATTTTTATCTATCAAAATGATTTGAATAAGATTTCCAGTGAATTTTAATTTTGTGGATTGAGAATTTTATGAACATGTTGAATTCTTAACATCCATGTTCTAGAAAGTGGTGTTAAGCTTATTGTCTATTAAATCACTCCTTTGCTTATGCAGTGAAACGTAAAAATGGCAGAAAGAGAGAAATAAATTTAAAAGCCACCAGAGAAAACACTTCCAGTGGCAGGAACACATTCTTAGTGCTTTAACCACTTGTTATTCTACCCTCATAAGTCTTACTCTAATGTCTACAATCACAGGCTTCGACAATAGTGTTTGTTTCAAAAAAGACAACTTCACTTCATTTCAGAGTGTTCTGAGTCTCTTAACTTCTTGCCAATATCTCAAAAGCGCATGAAATACTAGCAATTTAGCTCAAATGGTAGGAAGTTCTTTAGTGTTTGAGACTACCAGGATAGCTCTTGAAAAGCGTCTTCAGATTGATGGATAAATACAACTTCAGTATTCTTTACCATCTCTTAATGGGCATTGAAGTTGTCACTGTCCCAGAACCCAGAACCCGTGACAGGAAACACACACACACACACACACACACACACCAAATTCTTATTATTTGGTAATCATGGCTTGCCTTACTTACAGGAGTGTGAAAATTGCTGAAGATTCAGAGAATGAAAGTGAGTGAAGAAACTTTTATATAATTGGGGGATTTTTTTTTCTTTGATAGAGCAATCTTTCTTAAACCCCAGACCCACAGAAGACAAAACAGTCATTTTATCTACCCTGGGTGCTTGTGTATACCTTTGGGTCAGTTTTCTAAAACTCTTGCAGTATTGCAGTTAACTAAACACGCCTTTTAAAACTGTTACTTTATATGCATCACATATCTTTCTGTCAATTGCATAAAAAGTTGTCACTATTGTGACCTTTATTCTCTTCTCCAAAACATCATCGAATACTTACTTGCACCTTTGAATGCAGGTCCGGCATACAGGCTGCCATGAAAGTTTTACCCAATCTTCTTTGGTCATCAGTTTTGATGCATATTTCGGAAGTCCATACTATCTTCTTGTTCAGGATTGTAGATGTCTGAACACGTTCGGAAAATCAGTTTAGGACAAGGGTATTTACTCTGTCTTCATCTGTAGCTTCTTCTTGGTTTTCATATTCCTGGGACCTGTCTCTTAAACTGAGGATGTTGACTCCTGGGAAGGGCCCAAATAGCTCACATTTCCTGCTTCCCACCTACCCACCCAGCCAAGTGCCTCCTGAGTGTTGGAGCAGATGATTCTGCTGTTACCCAATCCTCCTGCCTAGCCATGGCTGCGGGCACTTTGGAGCCACTTTCCCGCCGCCTACTAACCCAGCTGCTTTCCTCAAATTGCTGCAATTGCTGGTCCACGACAGTCCCAATCCGCTCTGCTGGCTGCGTCTGGCGACCCACGCCCTCTAAGCCCCGCCCAACCCAACTTCCCTCTAACCCCATTGGGGTCCTGGGAGAAAAGAAACAGGTGCAGTAGGTAATAAAGTTATGGGGCGTGGTCATTCTGGCCGGAAAAAGTAGCGCTTAAGGAGAGAAAGGGGGAGCGCTCCCCCGCCTGACCTTGCCATCCACTCTCACCCGCCAATTACGCGGAAGACGTGGAACAGCTCCACGTCGTGGCCAGAGCGCAGCCAATTGGCTTCCAAGGAGGCTAGTTGCTGTCTGAAAGAGAAGAGGAGCTCAGGATCTCTCTGTTCATTGGCCAGGCACGTCATTTCTACCTGGAGAGCGCGATTCCAGTGCTGGCGGGAAAGGTCCCTTGCAGTGGTGCTGGCGAGTTCACCGCTGGACTTGGAACGGACTCTTCCTCTTAGGTAAGTTACCCCTTTGGTTCTAGGCTAGCTGGGAGAATTCATTGGCAGAAAAATCTCGGGCTGCTAGAGAGCAGGAGGAAAAATCCTCTATTCTTGGATGCTTGCTATCTTTTCTAGAGAGGGTACCGCGTGCAGTCCCTGGAAACGTAAAAAGAACAGAGATAGGTGAAAGGATGCATTTCTTTTGCAGTGCTTAACATGATATGCTTGACTTGCTTTCATCAACGTAAATTTACTGTTCCAGGCATGTTCTGCCAGGAAATTAAAAAATTGCAAGTGTTTTTATTATTTATTACAGTAACGTCCTCAGAGACCCAACCAGTCTTCATTAGAAGGCATCAAAGAACAGGTTGCAACTCAAGAATTCTTGAACCTTCTCCTCAAAATCCTAACTTTGGTATATCCACCAACCCTAAACTGTTACCCAATCCTATCTAATCCCCCACCCCCCAAACACACACACACTAAAGACCAGGTTTAAACCAGACTTCATAATCTCAATATTATCCCAGTTTTGCTTTACCCTCCTCAGGAAACTACCAGAATGCTGTCAAGCTATTAGTCTCCATTACTTCATAAGCAATAAGCTTGGCTTTGTCTTATCAGCAGGTCGCTTTGATGACATTTCTGAAAGCAGGCATTTGCCATTCTTGAAGACCCCTGCAAGACCGAATCAGCCTCTTCCACAGCCTTAACCAACACCCCTCAACCCAGAATCAGTGTTCCCTGCTGAGGTCCCTTTAAACCCCCTTCCAAGAGCCCTCTGCCCCCAAAGCTGGGTAAAGTAGCTGTTTCATTAAGTTGAAATCCAGTTCCTTTTTGTTGTGTTTCCCAAGTGCAAATCTATTTTGTTCCTAGGAGTAAGGAAACCTTTTAAGTAATCCTTTTGAATTATCTGCTCGGATTAAAAAAAACAAACAAACAACTCTTATGGCTGGCGAAAATCTACCTTATTTTTAGCAACAATACAGTTTGTCTCTGTTATTGTAAATAATAATAATGATAATAATAATAATAATTATTATTATTAAGAGAACAGGCATGGGCTCTGATAAATGTGTTTCCGGGGCTCGCCCTGACGACCGAGACATTCAGAAGGTTTTGTTTTAGACTGATGGCGCTGTCTGAAATAAATACAAAATCAGATGCTTCCCTGGAGAGCCACCTGAGGCCAGGAACAGCCAATCTCCCCCCTCTTCCCAGAGGTCCAAAAAAGCAAGGAACTGAGGGGGATGGCGGTGGGAGATGGGGTAGTTTAGGAGAGAAAAGGCCTGACCGGCAGAGAAGGCAAAGAAAGTAACTAAATGGCAGGGGCAACAGCCACTCATAGAAAGGTGGGCGGTCCTTTCAAGCCCTTAGTCCCACCTCCATCCTGTCTTGTCCAATCCGAGTTTAAGTGGGCGCACTCTCATTGGCCAGACTAGCTGCCTGTCTGTGGAACCCGGGCTGCTGACGTGAATTGGCGCGGGATTTGAATGCCAGCCCTTTGCGGGTGCCATCAGCGCAGCAGCCAGGGAGCCCGCGGAATTGGTGAGCCATCCCGGTGGGCGAGCGCTCGGGGTGGGTGAGCCCACCGGTTGCTCCGCAGGGTGGGCGCGGGCGCGCTGGAGCCTCTGGGTCTGGAAGGGGATGAGGCTGGAGGCCCAGCAACCTGGGCCAGAAGCGTCGCCCCCTGGAGGGTCCGGAGGGCTCTGGATTTTCTTAGAAACTCATTACCAGTGTTTTTTGTCCCACTCTGTGCTGGAGAGAGGAGCGACGTGGAGGACAAGGACCAGGCTCAGATCGGCCGCGATCCCAGTTTCTGGAAAGCGTGGCTGAGCCAGAGAGAAAGTGAAAGCAGTTGAGCGCGCGCAGGAGCGAGCTGGGTGCGAGACT